CTCGTCCCCTCCGCCGTGCCCGTTACCATACCTGGCAATACCGGAGACACCGCGCAGTACGCTAGCAAAGCGCTTGCTTTCAGTTTTAACAATTCCCATCCATGGGGATGCACGGCCCTTTCCCGAGGGAGCTTGGCTGAAGGCGCCGGTGTCCTGGACTCACACCCCGAGACCCACCTGGAGAGAAGCCTGGCACACTTGAGAGCAGGTATCTACCCAAGCCAACTAAGAGCGAGCAAAACATATCTGCTTAATTTCTCACCACCTGCAGGTATGACATTGCCAAAACGAGCTACATTTTCCTTCAAACTCCCCTCAAGCTGTGCCACGGGCCCATTAACCATAAATGCACTTAGATTCATTAAAGCTTACGCAAGCAAAAGCTTCAAAGTTCTCTCCTTCCAGAGATTTAAACCAGTTTCACCTCAGTCAGTACTCAACACGCTCAAGCATATCAGTAAAGCGAGCTCTGTCTTTTCTCACAGTAATTTTTATTCCCGAGTCTAGTTTAAGCAGCCATTTTAAATCATTTTAGTGATGCAGCAATTTCAAGATCTGCTTTCATCTGCAACCCTAACTTCAAGCCAGTAGTAGATTCAGTCACATACACCCATGAAGTCTGCAACTTGACAGGCATCTTTCTATAGTGCAGACTTATGACTGCATATTATATTGGTTATAATATGCATATAATAAATTTCATTTATCCTTAATTATGCTTACATACTTATATTACATTTCTCCACAATTCTATCTATTCTTTGTGTTCTTGGTGTCTTCTTAGATATCAATTATCAAGCATAACCATTTCAGATTAGACAGCATTTCATGCAACATTTTATTGTAAAAATAATTTAAGATGAGATTTACAGTTCAGATCTCGGTAAGGTTAAGCACATTTTACAAGTGTGTTCTATACTTGTAATGGATCTATACTTCAAGAATTAAGACAAGAAAATCTGGTCTAACTGTAGATTCAGAAATTAATTGTTACTGGAACCATTAAGTGAAACCAAGAAACACAGCAAAAGCTGGCGTAAAGCTACTGCTTGGTACTTTTTTTCATATGCATGAAGAAGAATATAGTCAGTTTTGAAACAGCACTCCAGACAACTAAGCCTATGCTAACCAGAAAATACTCTAAACAAATGCTAGTTGAAAAACTCTGCAAGATAGACATTTAACAATTCAATGGCCAGACACTTTAATGAATGATCTTCTCAGCCCTTCTGCTTTATCGGTGCTCTCATCTTCCCCATACAGGCAGCTCATTTTGCTTCTGCCTGCAGAGATTTCCTTTCATTAGCCGCTTTTTGTTTTTGCTGCATAATTTCAGAGTCTCTGTAAAGAAAAAAAATTGGATTTCAGATACTGGCTCACCGATTTTTTTTTATTTTTTTTTTAAGTAGAGTCTCCCCCAGCTTGTTTTTGCCTTTTAGCAACCCCTGTTTCAAGAAGGGACAAAGACTAGTATAAAACTTCTTGGTTAGCCATGAGCACACTGGCTCTATTATCCTGGGGGGGTTTCAGTACAGTACCCCATGAGGTAGACAAGTTACTTGATTAGTAGACTTCATGTAATTCTTTTAGTTTTAGAAGTAAAGGACACAGTGGATCAAACATCTTCCAAGAAAGTATTACACAATCTTTTCCAGTTCGTACCAGGCAAAAAAAACTGCTCAAAAGAAAAAAGCTTTACGTGTCTTACCAAAAATAAACCTGTTTAACAGCAGATACAGTAAAAGCTACATCCATGGTTTATCCTCTGGCATATGAATGGACCATGAATCAAGGCAAAGGACTTAAATGCTATTTCAGCTAAGAAACTGGATTCTTTCTGACCCATTTTTCCCTCCTATTTTGCCCAACCATTTCACTCAACTGTACTAGATCTTACCTCTGTTTTCTCTGAGAAGCAGACAAGCTATCCTCTTTCCTTTTGCCTTTGTGGATCTCCTGAGTCTTCTTCAGATTCTTTTGGCGGGCAAGTTCACGCTGGTTCCCACCTGTAAGATAATATACAGCTTATACAGGTACTACCACTTTTTACACAGTTTGCCCGTGTAGAAGTTTGTAATAAACGTGGTGAGATTTGGTTCAATCTGTAGAGTTGATATGGCAGCATCTTCTGTAGTTGGCAGTATCTTCCATCACAGTCTCCCCTTCCAGTGCACAATGGGAGGCATGAAAGCCTGTTAGTTGTCACATTTACATTTCTACAGGTCACATACAAGACATCACCAAATCCATTCCAACATTCCTTACAGAAATGCAATGCAGGTTCCCATAAAAGACTGAAGGCAGACCATCCCATCAACAGCACAGGCAAAGTGATGACCGTAACTCATCCAAAGAGAAGCCATCCTCTCAAACAGATTCTGGCATCCAATATAATTTACAAATTAGACTATAAGAACAGTATTACAATGAGGGCAGCCTGAGAGAGTTTATAAAACTTCCTCAAGCTCTTCCCAAGGTCCTCTAAGAAATCAAAAACCAAATGTCTGTAAGTATTTGGAATCCAGCAACATCCAGTTTGCTGGACTTTCAGTCTGCAGTGCTGTCATACAAAATCACTGACAAATTCCACCACATCCCACAGTCAAGCACCATGAACTTTTTAAGTCTTGCTCCTACTCAGTAATAGCAGTTAGGACCCTTACATGTATATACTTCTGCAGATGCCACTTAGACGATAACCAGTACAGTTAATACATATGGGAACTTGGGCTTTGCTTTTTAGTGGATAAAGCCCCCAAAACTACTTAACGCAGGATTTGTAATGTATTATTGGGCACTCATACCCCAGAAGCTCAGCTAGTGCTATCAAATGCTAAAGCTGCCTTACTCTGGGAACCACGAAAGCAGAGAAGAACACATAGCACACAAGCAGCTGTATATAAGTTTAATTCACTGTTGCTCCAAGACAGCTGACATGTATGCACTACAAGGCTATGGCAGTTACGGAGCTTCAGCCCAAGATTTTGTTTACCTACCATATACCACACAGGCCCTTGCAAAAGTAGTGGGGCTGACAAAACTGAAGTTAACGCACACAACCAAAATTCCAGTTCCTCGAGACACCTTGTTCAGAATAAAATGACTTACCACTTTCTCAAAACAGCTATGCACATATGTCCCTGCACAGGGTGGACAACCCTAATGCTGTTCACATGCAAGAGTATTCTCATTCTATTGAAGGAATTTACAAACAAGCATTCAGGAAGGCTCCTTCCATGCACTATTATGAGCTTCTGTCCATAGCTTGCTTTCCCATGTATACTTTTTAGATTTCATTACAAACCAACATCTTTATTTTTTCAATCTTCATTTTATGAGTTTCTCTATGTAGGTGTTCCCTTAAGTTGGCAGCAAGGGCAGTTACAGGTATTCTACCTACTTTGCTTGTGATGAGCTGTTAGTCCATTCAATTGATTACACTCAAATACTATTAAAGAGGTGATCTCAAAAGATTTTTAGTTGAAATGTGCCTGTGTGAACTGCATGAAGTTCAACGAGGCC